ACCCTGTATCCACTTTCAGGGAGTGTGCCAGTTTGGTCTGGTCGACGAAGAGGTCGAGATCACTGGACTGTAATGCAGGTACAAACTATTTGAAAGTTTCTTCAAGATGGTAGGGGCGAGGCGGGACTGCGATTACAGACAGCTAGCTGGTAGAGTAAAACGTTATCTTCTGGTCTAGTTCCTCAAAAACTGTCCATTCCAAGCCGGAACGTGTTTTTTCAGCACGAAATACGGATGCCATGAGTACCATGCTACCTGTGCAGCAGGGATCTCTCCGAAGCGAAGAAGTCCCCTTAAATTGACTTTTGCAGGCAAAATTTGAGATAAAGTCCCCTTCAGAGGACATGCCCTTATTTTTTAAAGGATTCATGTGATCAAGAATTCAGCGTGGAACGTACTTTAGAAAATTTCCATACCGTTGGAATGATCTATACATGAACAATCAACGGTTTCACTGTTGTCATGTCACCGCTTTCGCCTGTTGTCACGGCAACTACTAACCGAAAAGTTTACTGACCTTGAGATTGACACAAAGGGATTGATTTGTTTACCGCGAAAAAGCAGATAGCTAGAATTATCTCTGTTTGACCCGTGTCGCCTCAAATTTCAGTATTGGTGCGAATCCTCCAGAGCTAGGTGTTAACATGCGTGTTCTTTTCATTGTTCCACAAGGCCAGGATCAATAAAGCTCGACTCAGTGCTGGCTGGCGTATATAAGCCCTGCTCAACGAGCGAGGGCGATTTAAATATGTTAAACATGTCCAGTCAACCAAGATGCTACTTCAGGGGCATCTCATTACAAATTTGCTGACGCCACACTCTTCAGGCTGAGATTCGAGATGGGCTTCCGAGGTTCCACCCTAAAAGACTAGGCAACGCAGCACTCTGTACTGCAGTCTTCTGCACACGGTCGTTGAAACTCGTAAAAATGTACTTTTTATACCTCGTCGAGTGAAACTCACTCAGCTACATTAACAAAGCTCTAAGTGCCAACCAAGGCAACGTCGTTGTTTATGAGGTACATCCCACCTATGAAGTAACTATCTAGACCAAATACCTGAAACTGGGCTTTGTGCATCAGCTGACGGGGAGCTAATCAACAGCATGTTCCAGAGCCTAGACTCATTTACGAGAAAACCGAGTTTGTCGATTTAAGTTTGCTTTTCGTTCTCAAAATGCAGTAACTAGGGAGACGAGCTTCTAAAATTGAGCCCTCGTTTACAATGGTTTATTTTTGCATGTTAGAAACATGACAGGCGGTTTATGGGAAGAGCATTTAGTCTTGTACGTGGGATTCATCTGCACAATGTGAAACGAAGTATTATGCTATAAAAAAACCCTCATGAGCAAATTTAATTTAATTTAAATTTAATTTAACGGGAGATTCAACTGAACCCCAGCTGAATGTGTATTTACATGAGTGTGTCCAGCCAACTGCATACATTTAGTGTTCAAGTAGAACACAAGGCTGATAAAAAATTGGGCACTATGCCTACCCGATGAGCAAGAAAAATAGCAAAACCGGTGGTGAGCTGTCAAAGAGTATTCAGTAGCCTCATGAGAAGTATGTTCAGTCAAAAGGGAATAAAATGTTAATTTATAGTTTTTCGTGCGACAGCTCTCTCTAATGGTATTTAATGTCTATTAGATCTATTGTAGTTACAATTAATTAACGTTTATCATTGAAGATTATTTTCACTTTTTTATTTATTATAATTAGTATTTATTGTTAACCGCAGTTCTAGTCGTATTTGCCGATCAACTACTTCTGCGGGTTACTCTTGATGCCGGAATCTCAGTGTTTATCTGCGGTGTGCACAAGACTACAGGGACGTGTACAGACTTTTGCAGTCCAAAACTCCCGTATTTGGAGTTTGCGAATGCTAGGTCATTCTCCAACCCCCCCCCCCAAGAGTTTCTCATACGGGACATTAACCTCTCACTATCATGCACAAGATTATTGAACAACACAACTTCCCCGGTTCATACAGACCAATAAGAAGAGATTTGATGATTTTCAATTGAGATTTTGTTCTACGGATGAAGCCAATCTATGCCGAAAAGCCGAGGAGCACTTACAGCTGTTTCATTCTCACCTGGAATCACCAGTTGTACGCGTCTCACGAAACTCCAGTAGGAAATTTCGGACCTTCCAGCCAGTAGTTGAGCCGTTTGGCCGCGGGCGGCTAAAAAGCACACCAACCAGCTTTCACCTAGAGAGGACATAGCGTAGCTCATCCCGAAAGCCACATCACGTGGTCACGTGGCTACTCAAGTGACGGCTTCTCACGCATCTTGTGGAATTGATCTTCCTCTGAGCGACTTATACACGACTGATAATATGATGTAATGTGACGCTAATTATTCGGGTAGTACAGCATGGGTCTTGCGACCGGGTTTGAATTCCGGGGAGTTTCTTGTGGAAAACTGTCCTGAACTACGTGCGGATCTTAGTGGATATCATGCCATTTCTGAGTTTCACACGCTTCTGCTAAAGAATTCACAGAGCCATCTACGTGAGGAATTTAAAGCATGATGCCAAAAAATAGACCGACCCCCAGAGGTGAGATTAGTTCTATCCAGTCACAATGAGAGTCCACTTGAAAACGAGTGATTCTGAGGGAAACGCTACCAAAAAACCACTATGAATTTCACCATAGCACAAAGCTTTTTCCCAGAAAAGGCCCGGGTGTGAAATGTGCGCATGAGGATTCCAAGCACCTCATGACAGATGGCTTGGAAATAATGTTGTTCCTTTAAGTAAGTGTCAACTCTTTGTTACCTGTACAGCACACAACTACCACACAACTACTGCAAGGTTAACTCCTGTATAAACTAAATTCAGGCAAGACTACCCGTTGTTTGAGCCATTCTTGGAGTGGACAACATAGTCAATCCTTTCAGATAGTCTTTCAAAATGGTACAATGTTCCCGTGCGTTGTTATTCTGACATTACTGACGTTCTGACATACTACTCGCGTGCCTCATCAGTAGTATCCACCGTTACACACGCTTTAAAGTTTGCTCGCATGCTAACGGTTTTCATTTATCTCCGTTAGGTCGGCACAAGCAGCTCGTCTGTTTGGCCGCGTCTGCGTGTGCCATGCCACTTCCGTGACCGAGTTCCATTTACTCTTTTCGATTGCCGACCGTCGTGAATGGTATAGACATCCCCGCTGGTCGGTAACGACAAACGGACCTAGCCATCGACTGCCCAGCTTCCACGGCCTCAGTCCACTCCTTCCAGAATTCTGATAATTCTTCCACTTGACCCTTGCATATATGGGGAAAAATCGATTTTCGCAAAAGGTGACAAAATAAATGTTTGGACTACCTCGAGTGCTTGCGTCAAAAATATCTTCTGTGATTTGGTCCTTTTTGGTTTGGAAATATGTCTTGGTAGAACAAGTGAAATCTTCTGATGGTGTTGTTTCCTAAAGGTATGTACAACACTTTAAAGAATGTGAACAGCTGTTTACAGTTCTTGTCAGGAACTGCAGTAAACTCCACGGGATTCATTCCAAAACTCTGCATTTTCGGGAATATAACACTGTAGGATATCCATGTGAAAATTTTTTTTGCAGTTTGGGGCTTCCTCCGCTTCCAGAACTTATCAGATCTTGGTAGTATTTAGCAAAGTTAGTTCGTTTCTAATCGAGACACAGTGTCATGTTAGCTGGTCTACCGATTAATCAGAACCTAGTCGTGTCACTCTCAGGAAATGTATATTGTATCGCGTATCATGCAAAAGGGTACCATGATATTAATTCATTCGCTTTGGTATATCATCGCATTTTTATATCAGTCGATAGATGACGTTTCCATGAGATAGATACCGTACCCTACCACCAAAGTATGACCAATGATGCCACCCACCGCAGGAGTTGTTTGTTCGGAGGGACCAAACTGTCCGATTACCCGACTTGAATGACGGGATAAGGATGAGGCGCAAATGTTCAGCGAAAAGCTTTCCGACAGATTTCTGGTAGAACAAGCAGAGTAGAAAACCTGAAGGTATTTCAACTTCTTTTGTATCCTTGATCCATTTAAACAAAGGTTGGTTAGAGAGACTCTAATCAGAGGAAAAACCACTAGGAATGCATGTCGTCTAAATGTCCAATCAAATGACAGGGAGAATGCATAAAATGATACGCACGGGAAGTGAACACAGACTAAGAAAAAGAAGTTATGAAATGTAGATATTCAATGAGCTGCTCCAACGCAAGGTGCTCACACCAAATTTCCAACGGACCAATCAGATAAATTACCAGCGAATACGCAAGTGCCCAATCACTTTGCAGATATTAAATGCATTCTAGAAGCTATATAAATGTCAGAACACTTGAGGGGATTACTCACCCATCCGAGCACTGGTGATGTCTGTCTGCCTGGTGACGAAACCTTTGAAGCCAATTGGCAGGCTCGCCGATCAGCTTAGCTGCAATCCGACTAACAGCCGATAACTTACCCGAGCCTCCAGTATTCAGACATATTGCAGAAGGTACACTCATTGCTCAACTAAACATCTGACCTGTTTGGTGTATATCCAGTGGATTGAAGTCCGTGAAGAACGTGACTCGTAAATAGGCAAAACGGTGGCACTCATTCGATGTCGGAGTTCAAACAAAAACGAAGCTTTAAACGGGTCCAGTTGATCTTTCTGACTCGTGGCGGTGTGTAAAATTGGTTAGCTGGCATAAACTGTTCTTTTGATACGTTTTGAATGTGATCTCAGCACGTTTAATCCATTCACACGGAACTAACCAAGCCAAAAAGCTTGCACTACTTTATTACGTTTTGATGCGCTCTAAATGACAAAAAATCGTCAATCGAGACACTTTTGAAAAGAAAAGCAAGCTGTATATTTGAGGTAAATGTTATTGGCACTTAAATCAATATTAATTCACGTTTGATGGACAAGGAATTCGATTTGATCTGCCGTATCTACTTCGAATTTTCACAATATAATCTGTTTGATGTGTTTTTCATTTGTCTTGCAGCCTGTTTGGTTTGATTCTGAAAGAACGGAGGAATGCTTAGCACTAAGCGTTTTTCTAAATATACACGGATTCGCATATCAATTTGGTGGTCACGGTGGGCTCAAATGAATCTCCAGTTTACGATATTCCTCGATTGAATGTGCTGCACAAAAGCCGCCTTGCCTTTAAGTTTGTAAGATATTCGAGATATCGCAGTATATTTTTCATAAGAGAAACTACTCACAAGGTTGCTGAAAACCGTTCGACCGGTTTCGCTCTTTTTGTGGCTCCTCATGTAGACGTAGTCCCTGAGCTTCCACCAACCTTATGTTCTGCTTGAAATCCAATTCACTCATTTTTATATCAATTTGGTTTTCACGGGAGACCTAACTAAACCTCTCATTTACGTCTAGCTTCATTGTGAAAATGCCAGAGGCTATTCACTGGGATGTATTTTTCAAAGGAAAAATCTCTAAAGACCGGTCAATACACCATCATGTATGCTTTGGTTAGGGTAAAAGTCATACGTACCCTGACGTTTGTGTGCGTGTGCACTTTTGACATCGATATTCCGTGTCTTGTGCGGTCAGTCGGCTTGAGTCCCCATTTCAGCAACCTAATGAGTCAAAGAACTTCAAAGAAATCTCCTGTGACAACTCAAATTTCCTTCCCCCAGCAAATTAATTTGAGGAATACAACGAGTGATTGTTCTATATATTGTTCGTCAGCGGCAGCTGAATTTGAAAGTGATTAAATTCAATTACTATCAAATTCGATTCCCCAGGCGTCCGTTATGGTCACACTGGTGATGTTGCACAAGTGTGTATCCTGAGATCTACCCTTCACGTGGATTCCCTCAATGAAACTTGAAAAAAGGAAAGCAAGCCACACTAAGAATCACAGACGTTGGTCTGTGATTGGTCTGGGGCTGCTATAGAGAATTCGGTGACTAGATCATAATCTACACCACCCCAGTCGCCCAATAGCAGTTAATTCATAACCATTTATGTACCAGAATTGATATGCTCACAGCTGTCCTCTCATCCAGTCGGCTGATGATCCTTTCCCCTTTTTACTGCATGCTGCTTTGTTAGAGGCATGCAGTACGGTTCCATTTCAATAGGTAAATACACTCAGCTCAAGAGGACCGACGGCAGGGGGAAAATTACGTATAAACACCAATAATACAGCGTGACAGTGTGTAGAGTCACCGGCAGATATGTGGGATACCGGCATTTTGTACCCATCCAGACAATCTTTCTGCTGTTGTTACCTGTACTTAAACTTCGCAGTTCAAGTTCGGCAGATGCTTGATCATGGGAATCAGTCAAGTTGGACTAAAATTCGCCAGTCAGTCTTACTGTTATATCTGACTGCTGTCCCAGTTCTAGTACCCGGTGCCAGAAAAAGAAGTCACCGACAAGGGACACAACAGCTTTATTGTAACAAGCGAGTGCAAAAGTTACAACAGCCCCGCGCTATTTAAAGGGCACTTTTTAACAATGATCTAGGCTGTCTGATAGGCGTTTAGTGAAGACCAATCCACATCGATCGTGCTTCTGGGAAGAGCTTGAACACTTATATTCGGTCGTGCTTTTGTGGCGTGCCTGAACACTTATCGGCTTTCGCTGAATGGATTGAATGAATGACTGACCTGGATGCTTGCCGGCTTCCTTATCGAGATTTTTGCGGATTTTTTGGGTCTCAGTAGGTTTCGGGGGTTCCAGGGTTACTTTCAGGAAGCTGGCCTTCCTAACACTTATCATTCTTCAGGATCTTGTGTACTAGCTCGCAAGAAATCTGCGACAACCTTTCTGCTATATCTGTATTCAAACGTCACGTGAAAACTGCCGGACGCATTAATGCGGTGTACAGATGATCTCCAGCGGCTACACGCACACGGAACTATCTCGCGATACCCTTGCCCAGGGCCATCCCGTTTTTTCATTCGTTTGAGCCAAGCTACAACACACTTGAATTTGCAGCATTCAGCAAAATACTTGCAGGAATTTTAAAAAATTCCTGATTAGCGCCCGTTTCTCAAGTAAATGCTTTCAGAATTCCTTCTTATCGCTTTTGGGACAAGCCAACCACCTAACAGTATCCATAGTTCCCAAGTGTGTTATCAATACAAGCCAAAGAAAGACCATTCACGCAGCAAAGCCACCTTTTCTATACTGAGTTCTTATAACACTAATTGTGGTGTACTATAATCGAATCCCAACATTTATCTGTCCTCCATCTGGTCTGAGAGTTTCCCACTTTCATCTATCTACCTTCTGTCGTGGTACAACTCAATCGGACAATTCGTTGACTGTCCATCGTTGCATTTGACGGGATTTCCACGTAAGACGTCGCCAGTTCGGTTATCAGCCCACACTGAGGACCAGCGTCTTTGCTTGCGCACTGTACGCTAGCAGTCATTCGTCCTCAGTGGGAGGAGACCGAATTCGTTTGAAGCTTTCTTGTCTAACTGAACTTATCTGGTTACTGAGTACTATACAACTTACTATGATATCTCGGATATCTTACCAACTGAAAAACGAGGCAGCCCGGCGCAGCACATTCAGTTGAAGAATATCGTAAACGACAGATTTAGTCGATTCTCCCTTAAAAGCCAAATTGATTTGCAAGGGAGTATATTTCACTACTTTCGTGCAATTTGGGTTCAAGTAGGACACAAGGCTAACGGAAACTCGGGAGCTGCGCCTACTTGATGAGTCCCAAGACGGGCGAAACCGATCGTGGGCTGTCAGAGAATTTTAGTAACCTTGTGAGTAGTTTCATGTTTTTAAGCATGCTTTTTCACATGCTCATGTTCGCATAATTATCCCGAGTCTTTGTACATACACCCACGGATGCCACTCAGTCGAAAACAACAGATCTCAACATATTCTATTGATTTTCTATCAGGGCTCAGCAAAAGCAGTGTGCGAAAACACTAACAATGTCAACACGAATGATCCCTCATTACAACAAAGATAATCCACCATTGCTCACAGGCAGTCTCACTGGAAGGAACAGAACTGGCAAGTGCGATAAAAAGTAATCTACTCAACAAGAGCCTACCACCTAGCTGAAGGGAGTTTGGTGAGCTGCGAACGGTTACACGCTCAGCGCTGCTTGTCCGACGTAGACGTGGGGGTAACTATTGTTTCACGGAGGTGTGTCAACGTCTGCATGACCAGGTGACACTGAGTAACTGAGCGCAACTTAACTGTAGTAGTTCCACTTAGACAGTTGTACTTACATGGATCGTTGACGCCCCCCATATTCATAACCCTGTTAATTTTGCCAGATGGCAAGTTCCAGTCTTTACCAAGAACCCAAATGTTCGGGAAAGTTTAAGTTCTCTGGATAAGTCATTGTTAATCCACAAGCGTTTTGTTGAAGTAATTTCAAGTTTGCTGGTACATATCACAAAGTCAGCATTTCCATTTTCTGTGGTATAAAACCTGTCCCGGCAAAAATGAACGGTAGTCATTGAGAGCAAGTACAACATAACAATAACGGCTCATTTTTGCGGTTTTCCGTTTGAAAATTTCTCGCCCAAAAACTATATAGACAAATCGTCCCACATCTACCACATTCTTTTACAATAAAATGGCTAATGACAGTAAGATAAACACTGAAGTAATTTTCTAGTCATGCTTGAACCTATTGAAGAGATCGATAACAACATCTACGAAATTCAGTGCGAAAGAAAACGCTGTGAGTGGAAAGGTCATCAATTTACGAAATTACCTCAGAGGGCACGGTTCACCCATATTCGCCATCCGGTTGCGAGGTGGAATTTTGATCTGGCCTTTGACCCAACGGTTGTCCCGCAAGCAGTTCAGTTACGTATTTGAAATGGGCTCTGCCACACGTTTTGCTAGGTATCTTTTCTTTCGTCGGTCTTTTCGACGAAAGCATTCCTCCATCTGTGAAATTCACAAGCTGTCGAAATGCACTCATCTGCATACCAATTCGGTTTTTACGGGGAACCCTCTCTCTTTTGTCAAATTCGCGAGCACTCCAAGCTGTGACAAAGAGACTGTACCTTCAGCGAATACACTCATTTGCAAACTAATTTAATTTTGCGAGAGACTCACCTGGAAACCAGCTGAATGTCTCGTGTGTGATGTTTCCAGGCAACTGAGCGTGCTACGCTAGGCCACCTCATTTTTCAGTTGTTACGATATTCCAGAAATCGCGATACATGTATGTGCGTAATGCACTACTCATAAGATTGCTGAAAATTCTTTGACTGCCCACGACCAGTTTCGCTCTTCTTGGGGTTCATCAGGTAGAACGTAACTTACTGTGATGTGACGGTTTATGTACCTTGGCCACTTCTTCAGCTATACCGGGGAATGTCCGCGCGACACTTTCAGAGTCTCAAAGCATGCCGACAGTCTTTTATCGGTTTCACCCTTCTTAACACTCTCATTATCTCGGAGCAGTCTCCAATTTTCCAAAAAGCTAAGATTTCATTTCAACAACGGATTGTACGCAGTTTGTGGAATGCATTTATGCAAAGTGGGCTGCCACAATTCGGTGTCCAAGTAGAACATAAGAGTGACAAAAACTCGGAGACGTTGACCAGTTGGTGAGCTCCAAGAAGAGTGAAACCGGTCATGGGCCGTCCAAGAGTTTTCACTTTATTAATGGCGAGTTCCATCAAGACAATAATAATAATATCCATAATATATTTAGTTAAAGGGCACCACAAACGAGAGATTCAACTGGAATTCAGTTGGGTACCAAATCTGTATTCAAATAAGTGTAGTTCACCATATTCCTGATTCGTTCCTTTTATTTAAACATGCAGTTCTGATTGCAAGTCTCCTAGTTTTGATTTAATTAACTTGGAAAAACGCGTATCTAATTAATCTGGTCACATAAAGTAAACAACGATGAAGAGTGCTACGTGTGGCATTCGCCAAATCCCAAATCGAATTCTACTGCGGGCCTATCTGACCGGAAGAAAACAACATTTTTTCCATCAGACCACCAACGCTCATTGCTTGTTTGTCAAACTGACCGCCCCAAACCTCCATTGGCTACTTCGCTTGTGTATACCGAAGCCTGTTTGTCAACATGGTTCGTAGAGCGCCTAAGTCGGTTGTCTTCACACCAAAACTGGCGATCCTCACCAGGATCGTTTTTTGTGGGGTGAAAGAATTGGTTGTCAAACTAAACTAAACTGAGACATTGTAGGAGTTCCGGAAGTAGCCAATGTGTTACAAGTTTATGCACTCGATTCTCTCCTTACAGCTGCAAAACAACGTGTGGATTTTGGCCGACTTTTGATTTGTGTCCTCATTCGCAACTTGAGGTGTATTTCTAAAAAAAAACAAAGATTCGTAAGTGGACAACATTCAGGGTTTAAGGCATGTAGGGTGGCCTGAAATGCCGCATTTCTCACGTCGAATTATGGGCCGAACATAAAACGAAGGTTCGCTTTCACTTTCATGATCCTTTACTTTATGGAATGAAGATGAGTCGCCTACCAGGTCTACCCGGACTTGCGAATGCCCAGATTTCAAAACACTCAGTCCGATAGAGTTCAACATAACTCTTTTCAACAGAATCCTGACAATCTGCTTTAGGGACAAGTTGAAGGGGTGCGTCCAAGTCATTGTACCGCAGAAAAATAATCACCCAGGTGAATTCACCACAGTTTACGGGAAGGTCACAGAAACAAAAGGCAGACGATGTCACCAAGATAGTTCCTTTTATCCTACTGTCATTTGGAGGTGATCAACGTGACAAAGGTTTCAGTGACAGCTGAAGAAGATTCTTTCTAAACAGACCGGTTTGCGTAAAGCAAACAGTTTATTTTTTATGTTCTTTGATGCATTCGTGCAAGCTGCTTTGTCGGAAAACGGTTGTACACCATTATTTATGAACACTTCTTGAAGAATCAGGCAGTAAAGGGTTGAAGATTTCCATCAGGCTCTACTGCTTGCAATCTCCGAGGTAGTGACACGCGCCTGGAGCTCAGAGAAGCCTTCAGAGGTCCCAACTATCGAATTTTGCCCAAGCAGCAGTCGTTTGACTTTATTTCAGGCAAATACCATGAATTTGTGTCTAACCGTGCCCTGCCAAATTTAGTTCTCCAACGCCTCCAAATTCCATTAATCGAACCCGGACTGAGTGTTACGTTCGATCGTCGCGATGATGTCATGAGTACACACGTTTGGGTTCGCTGTGTATCAACCGACTATCACCTTTGCCCTAACCCTGAAATTGACTCACATGATAACGTGAGACAGGTTACCTCTGTCTTTCAGCTGAGACTTTATCGCGCAATCGGAAAGTTTACAACCACCTTGCAGCTGTTGCATCCTTGTCGGGAATCGTGTGACCAAGGTGACCGACTTCCCGGCTAGTGGTTGAGGACAGAACAGTTCAGTCTGTTTAACCATGAAATTGACTCACATGATAACGTGAAACAGGTTATCTCTGTCTTTCAGCTGAGACCAAGGTGACCGACTTCCCGGCTAGTGGTTGAGGACAGAACAGTTCAGTCTGTTTGTTAATCACAGTTCTTCTCGTTCTCTTGAAACTTCTGGGGGGGGGGGGGGGTTTGGGGCGGAAGGTTCAGATCAGTTACGTCCTTCGTTAGCAACTATCTAAATGACATGTCACAATTATTGCTCGAGTAGAACATAAATTAGGTGCGAAATCGGTGACTACAACATCTCCCTGATTAGCGAAGCCAGTGCCAAACTGTCGAAGAGTTTTCATCAATCCTTTGAGCCGCGTTGGGTCAAGAAACCATCTCAAGATTTCTGTAACTTCATACTTTCCACATTCGATCACTGTGCTATATTCGATTGGAGCAAAACATGATATATGTTGTAGTCCTTTGATCGATCATGCCCAACTGGTTGACAAGTAAACTGAGCTCATGTCACATGACTGGATGTGGAACGAATCACTGGGGTTAGACTTCAGACCAATGCTATTAACGTGGCCATTAAGCACTCTTCATACGGGTGGGTTGTGCGGGTGAGAACTGCTCAAGCGCACTGTTGTTCTTGCAAAATAATACGCCTAAAGATAACTATCACTTATCAATTATTGGTATACAAACGGGACTTTGTTGACCATTCTAGTGAAAAGTTCGAAGCTATAGCACATGACGAGCACCTGCACAGATTCGAAGCTGATTGTCGTTGTAAGGTGTGTTCCACTCCATTCCTTCTTGCAAAGATCATGTCAATATCATACAACCTACCACCTAGCAGAGGAGAAGCTGTTGGCTGCCAAGCTACTCACAAGCGACCGGTTGCACAAAAGTAAAAAAACTAAGATGCACAGAATTTTTGAAAAAGGAACATTCCCAAGCGTTCTCTTAAGCTTTCCTGGACGTTCATTGGTTATTAAACAATAGCGAACCAATACTGCAAGCGTTTGTAAAATTTCCATAGTAACATTCACCTTCCGTCAGATACGTGGGCGGAGACTTGACACTGGACAATAGAATACTAATGTGCCTTATCAGTAGTATACACAGTTCCCCCAATATGGTGAAGCCATCAACATTACTGAACATAGTTGGTCGACTTTCTGGATGACCTTCCTCCTGACTGTTCCTTGCCGCTTGAGTAAGCTTGAAGTTTTCTTGCGGCTTTCTCGCCTGACCCCCAAACCGGTGAGGGAGGCAAAACGGTTAAAATTCAGTCCAATAAGTCAGTGGCAATCAGGACCTAGCACCATTCGTGTAGCAAATTTTATAATATACCCATTCTCCTCAAAGATGACCTACATTTTTCCGGTCTTAAAAAGCGGGAAAAGGGACAAATACGAACTCCTTGAAAAGGGAGAGAAATTTTAGGAACTATGAGCCTAAATACTCCTTAGTGGGAACCCGTTTTTCTTCCAGAAATCTGCAATCGGAAATGTCGGGCCGTAATCTCGACTTCAACAGTAAGCTTCGATTTGGATTTTCGGTAATAAAGAATCAGCCTAATCACTAAATTCAATCAATTCGAGCATGTTTACGTGGACTATTCATGCAGCAGGAAATCGTGAGTCGTCTCGTGGAACATGAGCTCAACAAATGTTTTCTTTTTCGGTTCCAAGAATATCCCAAAAGACGGGTGTTATGTCTGCTGATTCGTCAATCTGTGGTATCTGCTGCTCACCCGCTCCAGTGCCTAGTGTCGGAGAGAAAAA